TCATAGAAACCTAAGTCTGAATCCCAGCTCTGTGACTTTGGGGAAGTTGCTTACTGCTTATATTTACATACAAGGAGCCTGTTTCCTCATCTGTAATGTGGTGGACGATAATACTGACTTTATAGATTGATTATTGTTAAAATTAAAGGAGAAAATATATACAAAAGAGCTTAATGCAACGTACATTACCTAGTAAAAATAATCAGTATGGACCAGTTCCAGGTTAAGTGGTTTTTGTGCGTTCTTTCACAACTTTTTTTTTTTTTTTTTAGCTGAGCCATCCTGCTTTTCACAACTTTTTGATGCAGGTAATATCAAGTCCGCCTCTCCCACCCTACCACCCTTTCTTCGAAAGTAGAAACTGAAAAACTTGGTTAAGGTTACACAACTACATGAATTGTCACAGCTGGGACGCCAGACCAGCTCTGTGAGACTCAGAAGCCCCTTAATCGTGTCTCCTAAACTCAGCCCATTGCTGGGTTGGCTTAGTCCTCAGCAACCCCCTGCGGCAGCCTGCTGCTCCTCCTGGTCTAGAGATCAGGTAAGGGGACACTGAGGTCCCTGATACGCCCATCTGTCCCACGGTTCTGGTTCTTCTGTCAGGGCTTAAAACAAGAGGGGGTGGGGTTGAAAAGTTTTTCTTTTCTAGTTACTACTGGTAACCACTAACCTTTCTGACCACTCTTTTTAAGTGTACATTCCCTGTGATTAGTTATTTGAGAAGTGAGTTGCATTTAAATCAGGGTTAACAGTAATGGTGAGGTTTATTAATAAATTAAAGTAAGAACTGAAGATGACAGTGGTCTAGTGAATCACACACAGCAAATGACATCGACCTTACATATACAATTCAGTCGTACAATCCAATTTTTAAATTATTAATCTAGATTCTGTGTTTTGATAAGTATGGGATAGCAGACATTTGTTGGAATTAAGATCGATTACCTAAACCTTTCTTTTTCTTTTGTTTTAATTAAAATTTATTGGGGTGACAATGGTTGGTAAAATTACTTAGGTTTCAAGTGTATAATTCTCTAATACATCATCTATATATCCCATTGTGTTCACCAACTTAAACTTTTCTTGAAGACAGCTTTGTTTAGGTATAATGCAGATATAAATTCACACAAGATCCACTTTAAGACTTTGTTTTCCCCTGGCCTAGCCTATTTCTTTCCTTTTTTAAGAGGTCCATACTCTATTCAAGACACACAACTTTTAGAGCCAACACTTCTTAAGTTAGATTTCAATGATACTTACCTCTAATCGCTTTTCATCAAAAGAGAAATAAAAGCATTTCCTGTTCTCAATGACAAAAATCAAATTTGCCCTTACTGCTACACTTTCCTAGCACCTTCCGCCAATTTGCCAAGAAACGCGTCAAGTACCACCCAGCAACCTGACATCACGCCGCCCTGGAACTCAGCGGCACAGGCAGCGGTGCAAAGGGCTGAAAAGGGCTCAAACGGAAAAGTAGGCGGCTTGAAACGGAGTAAGTTTTCTAGCCACAAGCAAACGCTACGACTAAGCCAGAGGCGGCTTGGGGAGGGCTTCCCACGGCGGCCCTGCGCCCGCGTGCGCGCTGGGCTGTCCCCGGTGTCTCCCTTCCCTGCGGGGACAGGCCGGGGTCGCCGGCGCCAGGCGCCCGAGTGGACCGTCCTTGGCGCGGGGGCCAGGGCCCCCAAGGGGGGGGCGCAGGGGGGGCGCGAGCACCGGGGGCGCAGCCGGCGGGCAGCTCCGACCCTCCGCG